AGCTTTCTAATCACTCCGGTAGTGGTCTTAAATTTTAGGGCCATATTATAAAAAATTTGAATCAGTAGCAATGGGTCTATGAATTTATTTTGTTTCTGCTATACTTAAGGCTTCTTTTCTTACAAACTTCATTTTTGTCTAGTCTTGGCAAAAAGCAGTTAATGACCTTGAAAATTGTGCATAATTTCAGTTTCCTGCCACGTTAAGGTCAATTTTAAAGTCACGCCGTTTATTTACATTGCACACACATGTTTATTTTTAGGTACTATTCATTCTTTGTGGTTTACTGTTGATACTATCATGTTTTGACGGTGAAAGTCTAAAAAAACAGCCCTTTTTCGAATATTTTTAAATGATCTTTGTGGTTCACTATTGATACTATCAGGTTTTGACGGTGAAAGTCTCAAAAATCTGCCCCTTTTCGAATATTTTCAAATGATCTTTGTGGTTCACTATTGATACTATCAGGTTTTGACGGTGAAAGTCTCAAAAATCTGCCCATTTTTGAATACTTTTAAATGATCTTTGTAGTTCACTATTGATACTATCAGGTTTTGACGGTGAAAGTCTAAAAAAACAGCCCTTTTTCGAATATTTTTAAATGATCTTTGTGGTTCACTATTGATACTATCAGGTTTTGACGGTGAAAGTCTAAAAAAATAACCCTTTTTCGAATATTTTTAAATGATCTTTGTGGTTCACTATTGATACTATCAAGTTTTGACGGTGAAAGTCTAAAAAATAGCTCTCTTTCGAATATTTTTAAATGATCTTTGTGGTTCACTATTGATACTATCAGAATTTGATGGTGAAAGTCTAAAAAATAGCTCTTTTTCGAATATTTTTAAATGATCTTTGTGGTTCACTATTGATACTATCAGGTTTTGACGGTGAAAGTCTAAAAAATAGCCCTTTTTCGAATATTTTTGAATGATCTTTGGGGTTCACTATTGATACTATCAGGTTTTGATGGTGAAAGTCTAAAAAAATAGCCCTTTTTCGAATATTTTTTAATGATCTTTGACCTTTGAGGCAAACATTTTCTATCTTAATTGTTAGTGTGAACGTAGCAAAACATAAAATAACGGTTAGCGTCGTGATTTACTCGTTTCAAAAAAAATATTTACGCTTGTGAAATATTTATGAGTTTTTCTCAAAATTTCGGAGGATTGACAGTTTTGGCCACCAGACACTGCGAGAAAAAAAAAACTTTCCACTAAAAATAAAAAACACGTGTCTGATAGTTTCACATAAAGAACATTTCCTGAAAATTTCAACAAAATCAGAAATGCCACGCATCCAACCCTGCCTAACTTTTAAAAAACCAACTCTTAATGCATTCACAATTGTCTTTATATGCTTTTTTGATAATATCAGGGCCCTGTCAGAGGAAGATTGATCATTTAGGGTTCCATAGCTGTAAAAAAAATGGGAACCACTGTTTTAATGTGCATATTTTTTTTGTCTTGACAAGGATTGTCAAAGTTTATATTAGGGTTGTATAATGCCCTAAATATTTATTTATTATCGGAAAAACAACTGTATTGGTTAAATAATCAGGATTTTTCTTCATTGTGATCAGTTCTAAAATACTTAACTTGATCTAAAACGCTTCAATAGAGAAAGCAATGAATTAGTCCAGTGAAAGCCTCAGTAAACTAACAAATTGCCTAGAACTCTCATTAAAACCGTTCAACCGAATACTTAGGTGCTTTTGCTGACATAGGGCTTTGAAACTAAAGGATAATAGATTTAATGCGATTACTATCTTGCTGCATAAGATAAATAATAATTCTATTACTGGGGAATGCTAAATGGTACTTTAATTTATCTTAGTAATTCTATTTTAAGAATCATGAATTATCGAGATTATAAAATTATTGATTTCTAAACACCGTCTCATAAGTTTGTAGATATAAAATAGTTTGTAACGAATTTTAAATAAATGTAGCTTACAAGTTCATGTTAAAATTTTAAAGAATGCTTAAGCATCTGAGCTATTCTAGAAAGTGATACAAATTTTAATAAAAACTAGTTTTGCTATGTAATATATTTTTAGTCTAGTTACAATTGGAAGACCCTGTAATAGATTGCCTAATATATGATTTTTTTTTTTTTGCAAAATAGTAAAAAAGTAATCGGTGAATTGGAAGAGCTTGTTATATATTACCTAATATATAGTTTCTTTTTTTTTTGGCAAAATAGTTAAAAAGTAGTTACGCTAAAAAGAAACACTATATTTAAGTTTTTAACGTAAGCGCTGATTTGTTTTCATTTCAGGAGGAAGTCATTTTCCAAAACTTGTATCAGAAATGTGATACATTTTGCAAAAATTATAAAAATACGATGCTACGAGAAAAAGTACTAAATGTTCCGAAAGTTATTTGCATTGTTATTTCTGACAATAACAAAAGGACATGTAACTTAAAAAATTTTTCGAAACTAGAGGAAAAAAATATATTTTATAAAAAAAATAAAGAAATTGCTGTAAGACAAAAGTAATACTATATTTGCATTTTACTTATAAGCTCTTGTTAGTTCTCATTTTAGCACTAGGTTATGCATGTAAAATTTTCCGAAACTCGTGGCAGAAATGTAATATTTTTGCAAAAGTTGAAAAACAAATAGCTTTATGAAAAAAGAAACACTGCATTCGCTTTTATACATAAATTAAGTATCTTGTTAGTTTTCGCCATGGCGAGAGGGAATGGATCAATTTAAAACTCGAAGCAGAAACATACCTAACATATATTTTTCATAAGTTTAAAAAAAGTAGAACTATATGTGCGTTCGTATAAATTTTTCAAAACTCTATAATAAAGTTTATTTAATTTCCATATTGGTTGTACCTTTATTTTATTTTTTTACTTTTATAGTAAATGATAATTTTGACATCTTTTGGAAAACAAAAATATTTTTATTTTACCTTCTTATAAATTGCTATGGAATTTTTTGTTTCCGAAAATTACTTTAAAACTTTTCTTATACTTGTTTATATTCTTTTGAAGTTCAAAGGATGGTATTGATTTACAATTTCTAACACTTTGAAAGTTTAAAAAAATCGTAAAATTTAATCATTGTTCGGTTTTTTTTAACTTTTATTTTTCTTTTCTTTTTAAATATGCATAGTTATTTCTCAGAATTTTCACATGTTCTTGTTTTACGATTCAAGATGATTTTGCATTCAAGATATTCCTTTTAATTTGTGACTCGTTACTGCATCCTTCATCAATAAAATTTGACGAAAACAACAGCACAATAAACATTATTTATCTGTTTGTTTTCAGTCCACTGGCTAGGAAAGTTACATTAAATGACTAAAAGATAAACAGATAAACTTCTTTTAAAGGTGGTACTCAAGGAATATCAATCTTTATCCATCAGAAGTTTGGCCGAAATTTCTTTCTTTGTCTGCTGCCGAATATCGGCAAAAATGATTCATGACATAATTTAGGTGGCAGTTAAGACTATGTTTTGTGCATGTGGTGGCATGTCTGGCTCACTCCAGTTTCCATTGATTATCGATATCATATACTGCTTACGTCCGCTAACTTGGAGTAATTTAGATATCAATGGGTAAACAGGAACATATAAATAATAGGAAAAGTTTGTATACAGGATAGGGATATATTTTTAACTCGGAAGAAAATATTTGAAACTGGATAATGATAACTATTATGTTTACTAATACTTAACGGTTTCTCAAAATAAACAATTTGCTGTTACCCATAATTCACGACAAGTAACGGAATTGCTTTGAAAAGGGCTTTCATAGAAGTATGCATGTCATAATTCGTACAAGATGTTTTTTTAAGAAAATATAATAGAAAATACTTTTTTGATTAAAACTAATTTAGAAAGCTTTTTTTAAAGTCCATGATAAATAGAGTTTCTTAAACAATGAATGCGTACTCTGGATTTATTTTAAGGAGACACAATTGCGCTATTTTCTTAGGTAATATCTCTTTACACTAAAAAATTTTGCTTTTTGAGTAATTTAAATAAATTAATTATGTTTTTTTTAAAAAAGAAACGTCTCTATTACATATTAAGAAATAAATTATTGAATTAATCAAACATAAGTTATGAGTTAAAATTGCTTGCATATTTTCAATTTAGATGTTATTTGTAACTAATAATACGCCAAAAACAAAAAAAAAGTTTATTTTATAATACGAGATTTTCGTAGAAAAACATTAAGACCTTAAATTCATACATTGTTGTTTTGTTAAATTGATATTTACTTACATAATTTTTGGAATTTTGGGAATGATTTCAGTTTAGAATCACCAAACTTTGACGAAAATAGACAAGAAAAAGTCGTAGAAGAATATACTAACTTTACCAATATCAGTGTATACATTTTTGATTCATTTGAAGTATAAGTGACACATTGATGCTTTGATTCATTGCATTTGAAGCAATCAGGATAAAAGTTCTATGGGGACATAATTATCCACCATGTCAACATTCATCTATCAAAAGGTACCTCAAGATAAAATCAAGTTCACATGTCCTATATACTCGTGAATTGGTATTTAATATTTATAGTGTTAGTTACGCCACATTACTCTCCTTACAGAATTTTATGTGATAGAATTCGATGAAGAATACCACTAGTTGTCTTATGCAGTTTATTTATTTAACTTTATAGCTGATTTTTTTTTACTTATTTTCCGGGAGATTGTGTATACTTCACCGGATATATGAGCGCTATTTTGTGAGCAAATCAACAGTTTAATATGGAGCATTCAGTGATCTTGGAGATAGCTTATAACGTTCAGAGGTCGCCATTATGGGAAGAGTTTATCGATGATTCCACACTTTTTTTTATCAATAGGTACAGCAAGATAGAGTCAAGTTAACATGTCTTATATACTAGTGAATTGGTATTTAATATTTATAGTGGTAGTTATGCAAAAAAAAATTCATAATTTTTTTCTGCATTATACTTACGAATTTTTTTCCCAACAGAAATAAGCAAAGTAATTATAATTTACCTTTCTCTTTGAAGCTGCAAGCTTCTGATCTCTAATATCCTCTGCTTCACCTGGCGGCTGATTTCCCCAAACCACAATAGCTATCCTCATGTAAGTAAAGAGTAAGACACACAAAGGGAAGAAGTACTGAAGAATCATCAGAGCCATGCTGTAATAGTACTTTTGCTCTTGAGTACTCCAGGATTCGATGCAGATGTAGCGGGTCGTATCATTTGCACCAGTCCAAGAAGGATGCACTTTCAACTCTGACAGAACAGCAGTTGGCAGAGGCGTAATTAATGCTACACTCCATATAAACAATATGGAAACTTTGGCTTGAAGTTTGCTCATCTTTGGCTTAAAAGGATACAAAATGGCGATATATCGGTCTATGCTAATAGCAATCATTGTATAAGCACTGACGAAAACAGACACCACTTGTGCGTAGGAAACTAAAATACACATTATTTCGCCAAAAGGCCAATACTGTAGCAACAAGTTAGATACAAATCCAAATGGTATGCAAAGACATGCCATTAAAATATCGCCAATGGCTAAATTCAGGATGAAATAGTTTGTGACTGTTCTCATTCTCTTGTACGCTATAATTATATAGCAAATCAGACCGTTTCCACCAATCGCTAAGGCTGAGACTGCTATATACATCACATGCATGACTGCTTCGACAGACTTGGGAACAAATATAGCAGGTTCCAAATCTTGAGTGTCAGCTTTTGTTTTTGTGAAGTTCACATCGATGTAAAAAGTTATATTGTGTTGTGCCATTTTTGCTGATAAAATGTTTTCGTATTTATAACTTTAGACAAAAATCACTCAAAATACTATTTGCTTTTTCAAAATCTACCAAATTTTAGAAGAAAAAAAAGACTTTGAATTTTGCACAGAACAAATGAAATTAAATAAGTTCCAAGTCAAATTTTATTTTTGTGAGTCCAGATCGATGGAAAAAGTTTTATTGTGTTGTGCCACTTTTGCTGATAATTCGCCATATTGGGAAATTGCCATATTTAGCATAAGATTTGATTGAAGTTCTACTTTTAATGTTTCTTTGTCATCTATTTTTAACGGCTTTTTGTTAACTAACACTAACTATTTGTCAATTCTATTTTTAACATTGTTTTTGAAGGGAAAATTATTAGAAATTGTTTTGCTTAATGAAATGAGTTTTAAGTTATCATTTTAAGTTATAAGAAGTTACAGAAAATTATGACATGCTCGAAAAGATCAAATAGTTTTAAATTGCAAATTTTATTTTCTTGAAGTTTACATCGATAACAAATGTATTGAGATAAGCAATTTTTGTTGATAACGTGCTTTCTAGATTATATTTTTTACCTTCAGTTAATAAAATGTTTCCGCATCTTCTAATACAACAAAAATCACTCAAAATATGAATTCATCATATAAAATATGTTGAATTTTAGATAAAATGTTCTTATTTTTAAGTAAATTAAAAGAAAAATGGTTAGATACCAGGAAAAAATCTGAGTTTATTTTTCTGATGCTCTCATAAAAAACGTTATACAATTTTACGTCATTTTTCCTGATTACAACAATAGTTTTGACTCATTTTTAATAATATTATTGAGAAAAAGATTTAAAAAAAGAGTAATGTCAATTTAAAAAAATAAAAGTAGTGCTAAAGAAAAATCAATAATCTACTAGAATGTAATATTTTATGAGAATAAGAAAACTATTAACGAATTTAGTATTATTGAAAAAATAATCTAGTTAGTTGTGAATTAAAAAAATATAAGTAGTTCAAAAAAATGAATAATCTACAAAAATGTAATATTTTATTGGAATTAAAAACTGTTAAAAAATTTAATATTATTGAAAACCTGATTAGTTGTCAATTAAAAAAATATAAGTAGTGCAAAAAATCAATTATCTACTAACAATGTAATATTTTATTGGAATAAAAAACTGTTAAAGAATTTACTATTATTGAAAACTTGATTAGTTGTCAATTAAAAAAATATAAGTAGTGCAAAAAATCAATTATCTACTAACAATGTAATATTTAATTGGAATAAAAAACTGTAAACGAATTTAATATTATTGAAAAAAATAACCTAATTAGTTGATGTTTTTTACAAGCATAAGTAAATAAATACGAATATAACTGAGTGTTATAAAATATCAATTCTAATGATCGGTTAAATTTCGTAAAAGTAACTGTTTATATGATATGATACAATACAAATACGACGCCAATGAATGATTATTAGATGCGTATTAGATAGGTTTTATCTGCATCAATAAAATGTAATCTCCCTCAAATTAATTTTTCCACGTCATCACCATCCGAAAAAAAACTGCTTTAATTAACTCTAGTTAAAAGGACACGGAAAAATTCTTCATTAAAGTGGCTCTTTTTATAATGTTGAAGATGATATGAAGGCTGTTTGATTAGCTTTGGTATTCTGGTCAACGTAGTGTAATGGTTATTTTCTCTTTTGTTCCATCTTCCCATTAAAATCAAAGCAAGAAACTACCGCAAAGTAAAAGAAAAAAAAACTGTGCCTAACATTAAGAGGATTAGGAATTTTTTTTCATGCTTTCTTGTGGTAAGTCTTTCAAGTAATCATCATCTGGAAAGAAAAAGGGAACATAAGAAACAAGAACATAGAAACTAAGCAAAACTTGCATTTTTATTAAGATAAATGTTACAAAAATTACTTTTTATTATGAATTATGATAATTGCTTTTTTTATTTATGAAGTGCATAAAATGAAAAAAAAAAACACTCTGAATAACTTTTAATCTCGTGATAGTTTAACGAACCGAAATGCAAATAAGGTTTCAGAGGTAGTCCCTAAACTATTTGATTTGTGGCGAACAAAATTGGCAACAAAAAAACATACTCTGTTTGAATAAAAATTATCTTTCGATGAATGCAAATTTGCAACCCTCAAAACCTTTGGAACATTTTCAATTAAGTCATCTTAAATAATGGAATCTACGCGGAGAGAAAAGTTCTGGTAAAATTACCTAACTGCATAGTAATTGATTTTAAAAAAAAGTCATAATTCTGTTCAATAGAACCAAAATATAAGGTATTTGAATTATTCATTTATTATCTGTTATTATCCGTTCATTTTTCGGAAATTCTGCTTTTTAAAATTGTAGTTTTTATTACCATACATTTATTAATAAATACAAAAACTGAAAATTAAATGTAACCGAATAAATAGTTTTTATGCTATGCCATGCTCCAAATATCATAAAATTTACAAAATTTTACCACATTTATCTAATTTTATCAAATATTATTAAACCATATTTTATTGTTAATTTTACCGAAGTCTCTTATTCTTCCCATAGAGCCAGAATCCCGTTAAATTTCACCATATTCTGATAGTATCAACCGTACTACTTTTTCTCATTGTATAATTTGAACAGAAATAATGAAAAACTTTTCGATAAGCAAAAGTTTTGTTACTTTCATTGAAATTTAATTTTTCAGAAACTGCTGGATCGATTTCGTTCAAAGTTTGATTTCTGGACTTTAAAAATTACTATACCTTTTTTTTATCATCTTTAAATATTATCATTAGTTCAATTTCGTTTACTGATTTTTACTATTTAATATTAAACGAAACATTTTTGCTTTGTAAGAAAGAAATATTTTACATCATATTTAACAATGCTGCTTTAAAGGCTAAACGAAACAAGGCAAACCTTTATCGAGAATTGAAATCTCGAAAACTTTTTAAAAATAAAAATTAACTTAAAAGCAGTTTGACCAATCTTGTAAAAATTACAACGTTGGTTACTTCAAATTATGAAAAAAAATTATGTTCTTGACATCGTAAAATTTTTTTTGACTTTTATTAACTCAAATAGCGAAAGGTAATAAATACTTATAAAAAGTTTTTATAGATCTTTCGATAAAACAGTTTCATAATTGTGAACAAAAAAATGTTTTATTTACCCAAACATCCAACTGGGTGAAAATATGCGATTTCGACAAAGGTTTATTTTCTATTTATTTTTTTACATTTGAACTTTAGTTGATTAGAAGTTTAAATATCTTTATATTTTTGTCTTCCGATCTTTAGAATCAAAATTAAAGACGTTTTCTTTTTGCATGCTGACAAACAAACGCAATAGAAATTACGTACTTTAAACACATTTCCAGAAAAACATTGATTTTGAGAAAATTTCTTTAAGCTAACAAACAAAAAAGATACAAAAAAGTTTATTATAAAAAAGTACATTATTGAATTTCCTTCAAACTTTTTATGCATAATGTTAGCTATGTTTTGAACTAAAATCTAAAGACTAAGTGTGAATTTATTATTTTTATCCTACTTTAATTAACAATATTAAGTATTTTTCCTTAAAAATTCAATATTAAACAATATATTTAATTCTATTCTTCAAGACGAAAACTCAGATAAATATATTATTGATCGATAAAAAAAATTTTTGTTACTTATGCATAATAATTTCTTATACAACTGTTAACGTAATGTAAAAAAGGTGCAGTTTCAATGCTTAAATTTGCCTTTATTTTAAAAAACTATTTTATGAATTTTTATGCTTATTTGAGATTTATAATTTTAGAACCCCTGCCTACCAAATTAATTAAGGGTGCAAATAAAATAAGGGTGTTCACAAAATAAATTGCGTCTTTAAATTGCCTTAAGTAGTTCCAGAGATGGGTTGAAAAATATTTTTAATGAAATAAAAATCTCAAACTCTGAACTGTACTTATAGGACTATATTTTTCCAACCATATCTTTAGCAATTTCATGGTTGTAAATTGTAGCTGTCCCTTGAATTCGTGTGTCAAAAGTTCCAATCTATTGATGTTAATTCATAGAAATTAGAAATTACATTTTATGTCTGCTTACTAAATAATTTACACTAATTTTTGAACAATAAAATTGTGTATGAATATGTTCCACCATTAGATCAAAATATATTCGAATGTCCACCGGACTTACGTCTATAGATTTAGGAGACTAATGAGTTATTTGTAGCGTAAGGTAAAGTAACTTAACTTTAGTTAGACTTTAATAATTACAGTAATTGGATTTTAAGTAACTGTAATTATACTTTAATTTTTATTAGATTATTTCTTTGCCAGATTACACTAATTTATGCCCCATTTATTTTTAAAATGTTTGATATTATTTTGAAACTTAGGTTCAATTTCTGGATTTATTGAAAAAACACAAGTACCACTGCTTTTGGTATTCAATTTTGTGATTAATTTTGATTTGCAGAAAAAAATCATACGCAACTTGAAAATACAAAAATATGATGAAAAATGTACAAGGTAAATAACGTAAAGATTTCATTTATTACTGCAAGAATTATTAACTGCTAAATTTAAAATAAAAAATAACAGGAAGGCTGCTCTGCAACCCACAGAAATGCAACTGTAGAGCTGAAATTTGATGTGCAGAAAGGGCCATTTTTATTTATGAATTGACTCAAGTTTTTTTTTTTTTTTTTTTAGNTTTTATTTTTTTTTTTTTTTTTTTTTTTTAGAAATTTCATTTTTTTAAAAAGTTGTTTTCATTTTTAGTGCATTTTCCCATTTTTCTTTTATAAATAGTAGAATTACAGTGGAATTTAATCAGTAGAAAGTTTTATTTATCATCTCTCTGAAGATTTTTATTTTAAAAGCTCACACACACACTTGACTTGATGTCACTAATGAACAAAAAATGAAAATATAAAATAAATTTAACGATAAAAAAGATAAGATATGGCCAGATTTAAATCTTTACATTTATATAATTTTCTAAAAAATATAAGAGACTCAATAGAAATAAAACCATTTTTCCATTTCAACTATTATGCAATATAAGGTTATCGTATCATATTGTTAACATGCAAAATAACTTCTCACTTATTACTTCTTCTTATTATTATGTCGCACTTTCTGTATTCCTATGCTTCATTTTATTTTCAGGTACAGTTTTTCCTTTTTCGAACAATGTAATCCTTCATTTCGTTACGATTGACATGTTGACAAAATGTTCAGTACACAAAATTATAAATATTTATACATTTTATAAACAAAATGATCTTTGTTATTTTAAAAAAATATCGACTTCTTAGAAAATATACCTCGAATGAATGAGATGCAACTTCGTGGGTTAGTGAGTGGAGAATCTTGGTAAAAATGTCACGAAAGAATGTGTCATGGAAATGTCACCAGAAATATCCTGTGACAGAGATAAAACTAAAACGTGCGAAGAAATATATGGGCGGAATTTGGGAAACATACTTGGAAAAGTTCACATTAATTTACATTTCAAATATGTCACATTATTTCTCTTTATAAATATTGATATATTTTTCGTTTGCACTTGACAACTTCTTTAGAAAACTCTAAACAAATGTACGTTTTACGAATACGACTTATATATGTTCGAAGAATAGCCTTTTGTGAATATAGATAGATGAATACGGCATTATATGCACAATAATTTACTTCATGGAACTATAGTCCAATTGTGTTGATATTGAATACTTGCAAGCTAATTTTAAACAAGAAAAATGTGTTATTATTATTGATAATTGTAAAGTAAAATGTAAGACCCATTTTTATTTCTTTCATTACTATACTTTTGAACATATTCATTTA